TTTGTGTGTGTTTGTGTTGTGTTTCATAGGCTGCCGATGGGGCTCAGCCGTCCTGTGATCATCAGTCCAGTAGACGTAGTGAGGCCAGGAGCAGCTTCTGCTTTGACTCCAGGTAGTGTGCCTACCCGCACGCATAAAAGAAATAGGCTTAAGAATAAATAGACTTTTTCAAATCAAGGCATTTCACTTAAAGACATGATGAAGAAATAAGATTTCACAAGCAAAGATAAGGAAACTCATAAAAAGAGGTAGCAAAGGGAGGTTAGGGAGGGATTTTTTCTTGCAGTAAATCAGTAATCCCTGTGGCAGTAGTGAGCCAAACAAGAGTAATATGAAAATATAAAAGTGAAAATCCCTCACTGTTTGGCCTGTATGGTGGCTAGCTGACTTCACAGCTTAAAACGTGGCAGCTTTTATGATTATGTGTAATTCAAGGGTTAATTCCTGATCTAAACACATACATTTATGACTTCAGAACTATCGCTTGAAAACATCATTATGTTTGTATGTTTTACCCTGGGCTCTTTAAATGGTTGACCTTTTTGGAAAAATGTGTTTACTTTCTTGTTGAATGTTACCACCAACATATTTATCCATCAAGCTCCGTAAAAAAATTAAAAAAAAACTGCTCGTCTTTGCATTTTTCTTCAAATAAGGAACATTTTTTGTTTTGATGTATCAAACAAAAAGTCAAAAACATGTAACGAACTTAACAGTTACAGCAACATTTGTATATACTTACTGTATTCAATTCAATTTCAATTCAATTCAATTTTATTTGTATAGCGCCAATTCATAACAGAAGTTATCTCAGGACACTTTTCAAATAGAGCAGGTCTAGACCGAACTCTTTAACATTAATTACAGAGACCCAACAGTACCACCATGAGCAAGCACTTGGCGACAAGGGCAAGGAAAAACTGCCTGTTAAAAGGCAGAAACCTAGGACAGATCCTCCGGCTCTAGGTGGGTGGTCGTCTGTCTCGACCAGTTGGGGTGAGAGAGAGAGAGAGAGAGAGAGAGAGAGAGAGAGAGAGAGAGGCAGAGAGAGACAGAGAGAGCGAGAGACAGACAGACAGACAGACAGACAGGTGTATGTATGCACATGCACTATATGTATATACAGTATACACAATACATACATGCCATATGTACACACACATACTCATAACAAAACTGTCTCACCTGTCTCCATACCCTCTCCTTTTCTTTCTCCAGGAGCAACGTTCACAGGCGCTGCCCGTTATGCGAGGTGATCTTCCCACCCCATTTTGAGCAGCGCAGCTTCGAGCAGCACGTGGAGAGCCACTGGAAGGTCTGCCCAGTCTGCTCTGAGCAGTTCCCCCTCAACTGTCAGCAGCAGCTCTTCGAGAGGCATGTCCTCACGCACTTTGACGGCCACGTGCTTAACTTCGAGCAGATCGAATGAAGGACGTAGAAGGCAGACATAGCGTATGGGTAAATGTGTGTTGTCAGCTATTAGTTCATTTTGATTGGGGTTTGGTTAAGTTGTCTTGTTAATATACAATCATTAGCACTTTTTTGCAATCTTGACAAAGGTTAGAAAGAATGTAGTCCACTACTGAAAGGAAGCGGAGTTTGTCTTTTGGCGGCTACTCCACCAAGGTGTTTATTAAGTAGGGTAGCTTTCACCTTAATACACAAGTGGGTAAAATGATCTTTAACACTCGGGAATAGTGCCATGGTCCTTTACTTTTTTGTATCATTTTTATGCTCATCTTTCTGCTTCATGGGGCAAAGGCACCGTTGGTAGTGCATGTATTTATTCTGTGTTCAAAACAATTCAAACTACTGCAGTTCAAGCTAAAAGAGTGAATTATAGCGGGAGCTTGAGCCAGGGCTTTGAAGATAAAAACATTTTAGTATGTTAATGTCCCCGTTCTTTAACTACCTTGAAGATTTCTTTTACTATAAGTCGGATTCTCTTGTGATAAAGCAGCCAAGACATCTTTATCTTTTAATTCTCCACATGATTCAAAAGCTCGGAAAGACATTTTTTTTAAGTGTAAATGCAGAGGGAGATCTGAATATGCGATGTCTTAAAAGAGTCAATTGATTTGGTGTGATTTTTTTTTTTTTTTTACTTGAATGGGAAGTGATTTCTCCCAAACTACAGTACTGCTGTAAGTGTTTTGCAAAGACGTCAGATGGTTTAAACAAAAACAGCACTACGTTTTCATGTATCTGCACTAAATAAGGCTTTATTCTGAATGTAATGTACATATGAAAATGAGTATAAGTTGTGGAGAGACCTGTGAGTTACTGTTGTGACCCTGCCTCATTGTTACTTCCCTCATGTTTTAGTGATGAAAGAGTGACTGATTGATGACGTTTTACTTCGGTAAGAAGCTGGGCAAATAGACTGCAGGACACTGTTACGGTCATGTTTATGGTTAAGTACTTCCACATTTTAAAATTAGAATTGTGAAGAAAATAAAAATCAGTGTGCAGGTCCACATTATGAGTGTCATTTATGTGTGTCCACAGGGCTCCATACCATTGCTTGTCTATTTTCTGTCATTACAAAGTGACCCATCAGTGTTGTATTCAGGCTTTAAAAATTGCACATGCCCAGTAATCACAAGGCAAATGTGTGTCATGTGTCCGATGCAGCCCTTTTCATGTGAGAATGTCAGGACAGTGGTTGAAGTGTGTACTGCAAAGATCTTTATGAATAAAGTAAGCTTGTCTAAATGCATTCAACTGTAATGTCTTTGATTTATTCGGGTCGAAAAGGGAAGAAATAACACGACCGTCAGTCCGAGCTACAGAGCTTTTTAATGTATTTTTCTTTTTTTTTTCAGTCATTTCCTGTTTACATTTAAGCAGCTTCTCTTTTATATAGAAAGACAGTTTGACATCATTTACAAGTTACTCTGCTCAGAACCTGTTGTCCCCCCATACAAAAAGGAAACATTGGTCTCCACGTTACATACGAAAATATAATTTAAAAGTACTTGACAACAGACACACGTTACAATACATTCACTGTACACGGTATACTGAAACTCCTCCCTCATCTCCTCCTTCTGCACACAGCCTCCTCTCCTCCTCTCCCATATGTGTAATACTGCAATTGGCCCCCGTGTAAAGCTGAAACTATTGCCATGGTGACGCCGGTGTCGGTGAAGCGGGGATGGTTTTACGAGTGTTTGACAGAGCACCCAACGGGAGACTCTCAGTCTCCGTTCCATCTCGGGTCTGTCTCTGCTCTGATCCCAGCCACAGAAACTCTTCCCCTACGCTGAAAGGCAGGAATGGAGCTTTTTCTATCACACGCAAACCATTATCTCAGGGTTACTTTCAGGGTAGCAAGTCCACAGATGTACTTTGAAACTGATAGCAAGATTTTAGAGATCTTGGTTCACTTATTGGGGCTTCAGAATAGACATGGATGTCTTTCAGGCCACATTTGTGCTTATTTGTAGGTAGCACACTACATAAAGGCATTGTAAGTACAGTACAGGCGCATGGTAATTACTGTAATAAGAGGGGGTTAATATGTGTTCATTTAACACCCTAAATAAATTAGGGGATTAAACACGACAAATACCAGAAAAAAAGCAAGTTGGGTACTGCCCTGTAAAGACAATGTAGAAAATCACGTTTTTTTAAGAAAGGTCTCTTTGCCATGCTAACTCAATGGTTTCCATGGCAATAGCAGCTTGGAGGACAGGAGGGTGTGTGCGAGTCAGAGGTCACTGTACCCATCAAATGAACAAAAGAGAAAAAGCTCATGCTTTGAGCCTTCCGCAGAATAACAACTTGTGCACGATGAGGGAAATTATGTCATGAATCAATGTGTCTTGGCATGCGGCGTTGCACCGCTCTTGTTTTTCTAGAGGCAATGAATGATGAAGTCCCAGTCAGGGGGGCAACAAGTTGGCCACCGCTACACTACATGACACAAGGCTGCCAGCCAGCCAGCCAGCCATCCTGCTCCACAGGAGTCCAAACCAGCGGCCTGGCGCAGAAAACAATGACTGATCTGAGCACGGAAACACGCAGAATACAGTAACACTCTACAGGCTGATGACTTGGATACTGCTGAAAACACACACACACACACACACACACACACACACACACACACACACACACACAATGAACTGGAATGCTCTTGTCTACAACACTCACAGATGACAGGTTGTAGATGGTAATCTCTTTCAAATATGAATCCACCCTCTTCTGTCACACATCGTTTCTCTCGTTACGACACAGAAAGCATGCATGAAAACATTCCGTCGATGTACATCCACTCATCTGCACATTCTGGAGGCGCGATGAAGAAGAAAATCATTGCCACACGTTTGGCGACCTCCAGGGTGAAACCATTACAACCCCCGCCCTTCACCCCACCCCACCCCCCCACCCTCTCGTCCCCCCCCCTCATCAGGCACATGGTATGGTCAATGTTTGGCAGTGGAGAGCTGTTGGCAACAATCATGGAAAAACAAAACAACATCAAAGATCTTGGCAACCGGAATACAGTATGATGCTTGACCTGCTTTCACAGCAGAGTCTCTGGAACTACAGCTCTGGCACTCTGAATGAGGAAACACTGGAGATATGAAATACACGGATGGCTTTCTGTGGGGATGAAATGTTAAAGATATGGATTACTGGCTTGGGCCGTGTTCAAATAGGTTCAGCGCTGAGCGTCCCTTCCTGATCAACAGTGAAATATCACACGCAATTCAGAGTGCGTGTCGAACCGAAAGGCGTATTGGCTTCTAATCTCTAGAATGTGGTGAGAGAAAAACTTTCGGAACTGAAAGTCAGCTAGCTGTTTGACCTCTGAGGTGACAAAACTGGCCGTCTCAGCAAATAAGGAATGAAAGGAACACTTACTGATACATAGAAAAAAAACACTATCTAAAACACTGATAAAATATATAAAATAAAGCTTGAAAATAAAGTCTAACTATTTATGTATATGTTCATGAATACTTTTATATATTTTTATGTACACATACATATCTATTGTTTTATATCAATATATCTATTTAAAGTATAACTTAACTCTTGCACTTAACCCCCCAGAAGTTACTGCGAAGGCACAGATCTAAGCTCAGCGAACTTTAACAGAAAGGGAGTGTAGTGACTGCAGAACTTAGATCAGCACTAATGTCAACTTCATAGCGCTCATAGATGAGCAGCAAAAGGGGCCGGGCTTAGTTGCACTTCCTGTTTCACATGTTCTGTTTGCGTTTCCCCTCTCTTCTTTCGTAACATTTGTTTTTTTGTCTTTTCTTTCTGTTGTTTTTTACAGTTAGCACCTTATGTAAGTCCAACAATAGAAAAAAAGTAACGTGATAGCATATACGAATGTGCAAATGTACAACATTAAAAATACTACAAAGATACCTTTTTTTTTTCAAAAATACAAGTGATATAACATGGATAGAAAAAAATAATATAACAAACAAAGAAAAATGATGAAAAAAAAAAAAACTAAATTAAAACAACTTAAAGCATGCACTTGATCCTTTAGTGTGTGGCATAGGTATAAAAGGGATCAGATAAGGAAAGTCAGGATAGGGCTATGTTTGGGGTAGTTGACTAGTGTGACCAGGGGATCTAGCCTTGAATCTTGCGCAGGATCTCAGTGGAGACGGGTGGGTGGAAGTTGATGGTGTGGTGTCTCAGGCCCTGCGAGGTCTTGTAGCTCTTGCCGCAGCGACACTTGAAGGGTTTCCTCACACGGATCTGCGTGCGGTGGCCATTCTTGGCGTGGTACTTGATACCGTTCACATTCTGAAGAGACCGGGAGAGGAGATACATAATGAAAGGGGAGAAGGGTTGCAAAGTAACCCTTTTTACACGCAAACTCCATGTTTGACACGCAATACTGACACGCAATATAACCTGTGTTCGACCCTTTCATTCCAGACCGCAGTCACAGGTGGTTCACTTGTTGACCCAGGTCTAACTATAGTACCTTACACATATACTAAATCTTGTTTTAAACAAAATAAGATACAGTGTAACGTGTTATTTAGCGAACTTTAGGTTCTGTGGGGCAGATTTTGTTACTTTTAGACAGAACCAGGCTAGCTGTTGTCAATCATTATGCTAAGCTAAAATAACCAGCTGCTAGTGGTAGCATTAACACAGATTAGGATTGCAAACTTAAACCTGCAATTAAGTTTGGGAAATCCTAAATTAGCCACTTGCAAAACTAATTTAAAATGCATTTTACAGCATTATTGATCATTATATTGTTTATTTGTTGTGTTTCTTTGATTGGATACCCATTAGTTACTGATTATTATATAATCATTCTACAGTAACTGTTAAAGTAAAGTCATTGCAGAAACCCCTCTTCACCAGTTTACCATTTGTCTTCACCTGCATCAAACTCTGGTCAGACACCGGCTGGAAAAGTCAGGTTGGAAAACACATGTGGACCCATTCAGATCAACAACAAATATGGCTTTATCCTACGTCACTGTTTTGGTCCAAAAAGGGTATAAGAGAGTAATGTTCCCACATCCATTAGTCAAAGAGCAGGGACTACAAGTTGAATGAGTTTTTTGTTACCAGCTGCAATAAAATTCAACCAAAGCAAATATACCATGATATATTTATCACTGCTTCCAATCACGACATTCTGGATTTATAATGTGTCCAGACATGTGATACTCAGACAAAAGCTCCAGTGTGGACGTCAGAAACTACTGAACCTCGTGTCCTATGGCTGCGCTGCTGTAACTGACTTCTCAGTCCTCTGGTATAGCCTTACCTTGTATCTCTTCTTACAGCCGGGGACAGGGCAGGCGAAAGGCTTCTCCTCTCCCCCATTCATGCACATGGAGCTGAGAATGGACTCGGAGCTGATGGCGCTTTCTGTGGTCCACGACTCATCGCTGTCCGACTCCTCATAGTCTACCTCCTCCTCATCATACTCACTGCCTGGGGGCACCATGGAGAGATGCAGAACAAAAAAAACGGTAGTCAGCCCAGATGAAACATGGATTGGGACATACCCAAAAGCACATCATGACTTTTGAGTTTACCAAAGAGAAATTATACATGGCTTTTTATTAATACTTCTCTCTATATTCTTTTCCTGCTTTGATTCATTAGCAGCCCACATGTCAATGAAAGCACTGCTAAGACAAAACAGCAGTGGTGTGCATGTTCATGTGTGTGTGTGTGTGTGTGTGTGTGTGTGTGTGTGTTTGTGCTTCTGTGTGCGCCTGTGAGTCAAAACGTAGGGGCTGGCACTGAGAAAGAGATCATTAAGTGGGAGTGATCCCCATTGCTCAGCCTGGAAAAAGTGCTTTGCTAAGTGCAGAACATTTTCCACTCACATGCATGCACACACACACACACACACACACACACACACACACACACACACACACACACAAAAGACATCCACATACCACCTTACTGAAATGTTCAGACACACACACACACACACACACACACACACACACACACACACACACACACACACACACACACAAAGACCCACTGACCCCCCACCATCTCACAGGAAATGCTGCACCTCAGCATGAGGAAATGGATGGCACCCTGGCACATGTCGAAAGAGGACGTGTGCGTGTGAGTGTGAGTGTGTGTGTGTGTGTGTGTGTGTGTGTGTGTGTGTCTGTAGCTGTGCTGGTGTATAAGCCCAGACCTAACACTACGTTTGTAACCATTTGGGCTGGAATTGGACATCTGCTTCTGGGCTGTGCAATACACGGCCCCATGCGAACACACAGCGTGACAGCTGCTATGTAATTAGCAGAGTGTTGACTGGTCTGCTCACTGCAGGGACCAACAAAGCCAACACACAAACAACACACAAACACACAAACACACACAAACAGCAGTAGACAGTGGCTGGTCTCTTCCACTTTCCACTATGGAAGCAGATTTTCTTCATGATTCAGAAATTTGAGGAAATATTAGCATGAGAATGTCCAAATATCCAACTTATTACAAAATACCTTCAATGGTTAAAAGTGAATAATTTGTTGTTTGCATTACTAAATAAAAGGTGAGCCGGATCGTTTTCTTTTGGCAGACATCTTCAACAAATATCTTCATTTGCTCATCACGACACTGTCTGAATTTGATGAATGGGCTCCTGATGGCGCAGTTCATACAATAACTGTAAGACTTTTCTGTTACTGCCGGTAGGGTTATTTTGCCTTAGTCAGTTTCAACACCTCCATTCACTCGACAAGTATGGGCAATCAGTCTGTCTTCATCTCAAACACACATTTGAACGCACACACACACCTGTCGTACCTGTAGGTGTGCTGCTGCGGAAGGAGGAGGAGGGGGTGATTGGGGGCGTGACGGGAGGTGTCAGGTTACCGCTGGTGTGGCGAGGAGGCGTGGCCGTGCTGTTCCTGGACACTCCGCCAGTGATGGACAGGGACAGTTTGGGCGTGGCCTTCTTCTTCATGGTCTCCTGCTCCCGGCGCGCGGCATCCGTCATGAACCTGATGGCACACAAGGAGGGATCGTCAGCAAACCTCCCAGCTGACAACCATGTTGATGTCAACTTGAGCACCTTATAAGTGGAGGCGATACTGTGAACCTACTGAATTGCAAACTTTATTCAAAAAATAAATATTTGAAACAATACAGAAGTTTACCTTTTACTAGCATTTACAACTTTATGGGTAATTTTGGTTTATTACAACAATGCAAAAAAGTGTGATGGGCAATAAATAAGCAGTGAGACGATCTGATGGATACATGCCAGCAAGCCACATTATTTGGAGGTAAAACTGAAAGTGAGCACACCTGAGATGTCGGTAAAAGTGCGATAACAGAAAACTGAACCAGGACGTCAGTCCCTAACTGCGATGGCTGTTGCGTATTCATTTTACTAATTGCCTTTGTTTTCCCTCCCAAATAAGTCTGATAAGCCGACTGCTAGTATTTCTTGCCCCATCTAACTTCTTTTTAGCAATGTTGCGGAGTTCCAGGATCTCAGCAATTACCTTGCTGAGTACAATGGTATTATTACTGAAAGGAATGATGATTAGACAAGCTGTGCCCTTAAGCAGAGCTTGTCTTCCTGGGATCCACATTTAAAAACTGAAAGATATGACCCCAGTTCAGTTGTGATTCACTGGAATAAAACTTCAATAAACCTAACCTAGTTTTCTTTATATCCTGCTACTGTTTGTGCTTTGTACTGAATAGGAACCTTTAAGATATCATCTCATCTAATCATGGCTGTTCTGTACACTGGTGCTATGAGAGGGAAAGTCTGAGGTTTGACAGGACATAATTGAGTTGCTGAATGAACTGCCCCTTTAAACATACAGTCATCACAACATTGTACAGTGAATACAGATGACATTTACAACCTCGCCGATGGAACAATTACCACAGAAAACAAACCTCATCCTCTCTTTCTCTCTCTGTTTTTACCGTTATCTTGCTCACTGCTGTGTCTTGGTGGGATTTTAACGGGGCATTAAGTGGGACGTGACATATCGGTTCACCACACAAAAACACACACGCCATAACCGTGACATGACGCCTTTGGCCGTGCCGTTGGCAGCACATGGAGTTAGGAGTGATTGTCTTCTGTGGTTTTTTTAGTGCTGGTCTGCGGATGAGTCAGTGCTGTGTCTATGGGAAGACATCAGTCATTTGAGCTGCTCTCCACAAAGCCACATGTACACACAGAAACACAGACTTTCACTGGTGGAGCAATGCTGCCCTCTATGGATGGACACCTTTGGTTGTGTGTGTACCTGTTGATGTAGCTTAGGGCCAGATAAGTGGGCTGCTGTTGCTCCTGCTTCTCCAGGACCCGGGGATCTGTGTCTGGGAAAGTGAGAAAGGGAGAGACATTCAGATTAATCACCGCTCTCTGTGGAGGGAAAATGTTGTGTGAATACTCGTAGTAAGTAGCTGACTCACATCTATTCTTCCTGCCAGACTGGCTGATAGATTACTTGATGTTTCTCACACTGTGTTCTCTGTATTACTCCATAATATGCGAGGGGCCTGCAGATACATTTCGGATACTTTCATAAGTGGCGCATTATTACGCCAGCGCCAAGCCCCTTGTAATTTAGTGCCAATGCCTTTCCCAAAGTAACCCAAGGCTGCTTAATCATCGCCAGAGTCTGAATGTGGTGAAGAAGAAATTTGTCCGAGAGTGAAAGAGCAACTTGGAGGCTGTGATGAATGTACACAGTGTATTACCCGAAACGCACACACACACTTTTTCCAGTTGACTTGCTAACTCAGTCACACTACAGTAGGCAACTTCCACTGCCTGAGGGAAGCAGTGCTAACTTCAAAGCCCCACCACCCACCCCCTGGGAAACAGGGGCAAGTGTGCATGAAAACACTGCGGGTGGGTGCATCTGTGAAGTACCAGTGCCATCAAGTGTTCAAGAGGGGAACATTCAGAGGGATCCACACTAAAGAACTAGTAGGTTTTAGGCCATGGAATGCATGGCTAAGTCTGTGTGTGTGTGTGTGTGTGTTTGTGTCCATAATTGCAGTTTTGTATGTAATGGTTAGCAGATGTATCCCAATTCAGATCCAAGAACTGGATCATCTCTGTGCAACAATTAACAACACACTCCTGGACTCTCCCTTCCAACTAATCCCAAGTGTGTGTGTGTGTGTGTGTGTGTGTGTGTGTGTGTGTGTGTGTGTGTG